TCCCTATCTCTATTAAAGTATTAATAATATCCACACACCATATTACACTGCCACGACCACAAAAATGCAGTCGTTTCAGCTTTACAAGAAAAACAAGTCAAGTCACTGCTGCCATCATGCCCAACAACATGGAAACAAAACCAAGACTTCAGACAGACATCACTTTCAAATAAATTGTCAGATTTACATAAACTAAAATTTAAATGCCACTGAACACCAGTTTACTCAGAATTCTAGAGCATCACATAAAAGAAATACAATAGTTGAATATTTACATTATTCTAAGTTTAGTGTAAGATCACTTCAAAAAGCCGTAACATAAAGACAGTGAGAAAACAAAAAGCTGTTGGTATTTTGAGATTTGCCCCTACCTCTTATAGGACATTTTTGCCTTTGGAAAGGAGCACTACTCCTGAAACTGAAAGCACCTTTTCTTCACAAAATAAACAAGACACTGTGACTTCCAAGAGTTTTCACTCTGAAAGGAAAAGTCTTTACATATTTTATTTTAAATAACTCCCCATTTTCTCCCATAGTATTCTACAAAAGCACATGGTTAAAATTTTTTTAAGAAACTGCAAAAACTCTAACGCATTTACAGAAGAGGAAAAAAAATGAAGAAAAAATGCATTTATCAAATCTCAGGTATGAGTTGATACAAAAGAATTTTGACAGTTGTTAACTCTATTAACAAACATCAGTCTGTTGCCTGTGCTTACTAAATATTCCTTTTATTGCGTATTTCAAAAAGTTTCAAATCTCACAGTCTACAGAACTATACGATAGACATTTCCAAAGAAAAAAAGTGCTAGGACTTCTGTATCGGGTAGGTGCGCGATGATTGAAGAGTCAGTTACAATACACCACTAACTGCCGTATACGTTAGATGAGCATGAGGAAAAAGTCACATTAGAAAAATTACAGCAGCATTGCTAAATATATTTAAATAAATCAATGCAATCTAAAAAAGAAAAGAAGAAACCCAAACCAGTTTCTCTCTACACTGAAAAAAAACTTCCTGAAGTACTTCCAAATGAAAAAAAAGCAAAGTTACTTCTCCAGCACCTGCTAAGCCCACATTAAAAGGCCAATAAAAGATATAAGCTCATACACGAATAAAACCTGGCCGTTAAACAGCGTCAGGTCAGCAGTTCTATAAAGGCCACAGTGAAACACACAGTTCACCCAGCTCTTTGTTGTGCTGTCAGGAAAACGGAAGAAAAAAAGAGAACATGCTCACAAGTACTACTTTCTCCATAAAATGCCCTCTCATAATATTAAAGCAACAGACAGAAACCCTTAGAAGACAAAACCTTACAAATTGGGGCTATTATCTGTAAGAAATCCCTCAATACAGCTGTAGCCTTCAATTTTACTCTTTAAGGACAGGAATCAAAATCTAGTTTGTTCAGTATTACATTACATCGTTTAAAAAATATGAACTGTAAGCAACAATGAAAGAAGTGCTTTCTGAGACAATACAGATTGTGATTCCTCAAAGCCGTCCGCCCCGGCCGGGCTTGCAGGACGGCTCACCCAGTCCAACCACAGACCTCCGCCTGTGGTTTATTCCGTTTGGCTTCTCCAGTTCAAAGCTACCCTTGTACGCGCGGCTGCAAATGCCCCAGAGCTGTCACTCTGAAGCCCCTGAGTGAATTTTGATCTCTCTGGAGTTACAGTTCATGAGATTAATCTGTACTGCAGTAATCAGTTAAGGATTTCCCACTAAAATATTTAAAGCAATATACAGACAAGTTAATGTCTATGAATACAATTGATGTACACCTTGGCCTGCTTAAAGCAAGCCTTATAATCCCAATTACCACACATCCCATCCCAAGAAAGGTCTCCCTAATACTTTTCCCTGTGACAAAGAAACATGTTACATTTACATTTCTTTTCAGAATGATCTACATGTGAAACAGCCTATTTAAAAGGACTTGAATCTTTACTTCCATTACCCGAATACACTGTTGACAGGATGTAGTATTAATTACTCCTGCGAGAACTTATGTCCGCTCTTTATAAGCGTACCAGTTGGAAGAGATGGCAGCACTTCAGTTTTCTTTCACATACGGTAGAAAAGAGTGGTTTCCAGAAACCACTTCTGTGGCTTATTGATGCTTAATGTAGGTTATAGAAAAGCTTTGATTTAATATATTAACCAACTTGAGAATAAGACTGTTTTCCCATTTCTTACTAGTGCTCAGCAGAAATACAGCTTTTCTCTTCATAGAGCTTTACAAATATTAGTCATTAACACCATGGGAGGCAGTTAAATATAAAAC